TACCAAGATCCATAACCTTCTCCTCGAGAATGCATGCATCTTCTACTCCCAGTTTCTGAATTAAAGACAGGTAATTCTCCATAGAAAATAGACTTATAAGAAGGTCATCGGTAATCATAAACTTATCTCCACTCTTGACAAATTGCACATCCCCTTTAGCCCACGTTTTAGGTGAATCCATAGTTTCTCGGCAGTGAGGACACCGTGCATTCGAAACAGAGCTAGCCAAGCAGGTGGCCTTGGAACAACAATCGGGCTTTCGACAAGCATAGGCAAGCCTCGGCTTAGGCTCCGTGCTATCAATATTTACTTTCAGATCTTCGCATCGTTCAGCTGCAGCGCTTTGAGGGAAGAGAAGCATGGTCTTGCATGCCTCAGTCTGGAAATTGCGCACATCAAGAGTCTCGACGCTCCCATACAATTTGTCCATGCATCCAAAATTAGATTGGTTGTTGAGGAGCCTGACGACGGTTCCCAGTGGCAGGGTGAGGAAGCTGAAGAGCATGTCTACAAAGTCGCTGTCCGCTTCGGCCAGCACCACCCTTTTCTTCGCCTTGTCCACCAAAAAACTAACGGTTACCTTTTGTTCACCGGCCATGATGAAATGTATGATCCCCCTTCCTTCAGGACAACCTACAGCATAGCGCAAGAATATGCAAATAATACGAGCCTACGCCGCAAATTATATAACCTTTAAATCGAAATTATTTAGAAAAATACTCTCAGTCAGTTTCCATGTCCACTTCCAAATCATTCATCACCCACAAACGTTCACTGTTGGCTTATATAATGTTCATCCCGTATAGTGAATAATATTCAATGTGTTATAATATCATCAAATCAACATATTTTGAAATTAGTCCCCCAAATGTGTTAAGGGTTCTGAATTTAGTCCCAAAATCTTTTAACTTGCTGGTAACTACTAGAGGGACTAAATTCATAGCGCTCAAAAAGATTCTGGGGATTATATTAACACATTGAAGATGTGGTGCAATTATGTCGAGTAAACCCTATTAGAAAAAAAAAATTAGATGGGCCTAATTTATTGTTCTAAAAGCCCGCTCAGAATTCTGGCGGGAATTTGTATGGGCCTAATTTCTTATACTGAAGAATGTTTACAAAAGCGGAATTAGAAGCGAGATGAGCGGACTTTTGTCGGGGCCGACGAGTTTCAAGAAGTTAATACGGTCATCAACAAAAAATATTTGTATGAATAGCAAATTCCTGCGTGTCAAATGAAGAGGATTTCTCTTTAATCCCTTACCATACTAATTCTATATATGCAAAAGAATTAGAAACTCGATCAGCAATATAAAGACGACCACACCGTAACAAGGTGAAAGGATGGACATTCCCAAACACTTAAAAATGATCACAAATGTTAAAATAAAACCTATATATAACGGGTTAATAATTTAGTCATTAGGATTATCGAATGGGCTAACTATGCTAATCCTCCGCCTTTCTCTGGTCCTACCTCTGGATCACTTTGGGTTCAACCGAGTACAGGTTGCGAGTGCGCGCACCGGCAAGTATGGGGGCGGATTCAGAGCTTCCTGTGCAAATTTTGGAAGGGGTTTATCAAATATTTGACGAACGGACAACAGAAGAACATCCATGCTGTATTTTGAAAAAGATGATCTTTATAGAATGATGAAAAGCTATTGGAACAAAATTATCACCTCAATGACAAGAGAAGAAAAAAAATAGACTCTTACATGCTTCTAATCTAAAGTTCGATGCGTAGAACTTACATATAGAAGTTCAGAAAACCTGGAATATCAGAAGAAGAAAAAAAGACAATATAAAACCTGGCAACAAAACAAGAACGACAACTCGGCGACAATCTGAAACAAATCTCCCTAGATTTTGAGCACTAAAAAGCTCCCCTCTACAACTTCAAACTTGACTGTTTCATCAAAAGTACCGCGGGGAGACCTAATCAGTGACGTCCCTGG